GTGTGGTTGTCAATCCACTTAGGATCATTGGAAAAAACCGGGGGGTAGGGGTGGAAAGCCCAACCGACCAAAGGTCACAGCATCCCTCTTATACAACTTTCTTAGCACTAGCTCACCCACACAGACTAACAGAAGGTTCAAACGAAGTTCAAGAGGAACCATCAAATGAACCGAACCAGAAGAACTAGACCCTAGGCAGGACCCAAACACATGTAAGTTTCCCCACCGACCCAACACTTGTTCAACCACTCTAACACACTAAAATCCCTCGGCCGACACACAACAGAGATTTAGCTGGACTTAGCTGATTGGTTCTCCTTCCGCCTTAAATCTCGATCAACCTCGGAACCTAGTCACTTGGCCTGACGAAGCTTTTGTGTCAAAAGCGAAACGTTGCCCAGCAATAAATCCACCGATTGTCACCAAACTTTTTCGAAAATTGATAGTCTTTGTTTTTTCTCGTAGAAATTTCTGGAAGGTTGTCTGAAATTGTTTTGAGCTGTCTGGTTTTAGCTCTGACCGTTCTGTATTCTGCAATGTACACCGTCTGATTAGGACCCATCGTTCGATTAGCAACGCACTCGAGCGTTCCCAAGTAACGGAGTGAAGCATCGGATAAGAATTGGCTACGTGAGACTGCCGGAATTAGTTCGTGAAGGATGTTAGCCAAGTCTACATCGTTGTTCGCAAACTAAAGCTGGTAGCATCACCTAAGACACTTCTCTCTGTAAGGTTTTCGTACAAAAGTCGGACCTTCCTGTTCGCTCAAATGAAACGTTATTTACCCAAATCCATCCCACAGTTCCATCATTCCTTTATTTGTTTCGAGTTTGTCGTTAGGGCAAGAACACAGATCAGGTGACTGAAAACGATCGATTCAATCCTTCCTCAATTGGAACAGTCTGGATGACACAGAACACCGGCAAATCCGACTTTACCCGAAAACCGTGCAAATTTGTACAGACCCTTCATTCTTACTCACACATTTTAGGAGTAGAGGCAACAAGAATTACGGAAAGTAGAATTGTTTGTGGCAATCGATGGCAAACTGCCAATAAGAGGATTCTGGTCTTACTACTTACTGTGGCCACATAACTTATAAATGGGTTAGTCATTCAGAGGACAGACTTCCCGAAAGGCACTGCAATGCTAATGTGTACTCCTCTCCGCTCATCTACTCTGACAGAATTCAGTGAGTGAATTGCTCACGGTAAAACTTCCAGATGGACGAGTACTCATCCTGGACGAACTTGGCGAACAATCGATTGGGTAAGTATGTTTGTGTGCCTCTCTGCATTTGCTTCAGTTAAACAGAACTTCTATTTTTGTATTGCACTTCTCATAAGGTTGCCCACGACCGGTTTTGCCCTTCTTGGGCTCATCAGTTAGGCAGGGTCTCCGAGTTTCCGTCAACCTTATGTTCTACTTGAAAACAAGTTGCACGAAATTAGCGAATATACACTCATTTGCAAATTAATTTGGTTTTGCAAGAGTCACCTGGAACCCAGCTGAAGCATTCGTTTGTGATGTTTCCAGGTAACTGAATGTGTTGCACCAGGCTGCCTTATGTTCCAGTCGCTACGATACTCGAGATATCGCGATACGTATATATTTGTACATATATTTGTATATTTGTAAAGCAATTTGATATAAACAGGTGACTCAAGGTAATCCTGTCTGAATATTTTGCTTGGGATATACTTCGATTGACTGTGCTGTACAGAGGCCGCCTCAAATTTCAGTGGCACGATATTTATAGCACCCAGGAATATTTTCTTGGCAAAACAAGGGTGCTGAGATAACTCTCCGATACTCGTCATTCGAAGAACTTTCAACACATATATAGCTACCACTGTGTCAGAGAAATGGTGTTCTTCTGGGCTACTTATCTCACGTCGCTGTGGAGAAGCGTAGGACACAGTAAGTTGATGTAACCTGAAATCGGAATTCGTGTGCGGTACAAAAAAGGAACACGATCTTCCCCACCGTGACTTTACTGAAAAGCAGAAATAATACGGGTGAACTATTTGAATCCTTCTACTACGTCAAATTAAACGGCATGACTTTGTGGTTTACTGGATTCTCATATTTTCCTTGCACTTCTAATCTTTGTTTATCGACCAACCATTGCAATCCGAAAGATTTACATGATCTGAGGAAGGTTGTAATTTCTGAAGAATAAAACATGATGTTCGTTGCACTTATCCCCCAAGTGGGAGGTTACGGTAACGAGTTTGTGTTTTCGGACCGGTTGCTTGTTGCGACTGAGGGGAGGAGTAAAAACTACATTCCGGTGATCGTGCTACATCCCCCCGCATGGCTGCAAAAATCTGTCTTCGTAAATACTCTACCGTACAATGCAAACAAGTTAACTTTGTACTCACCAATGTGTTCCACTCAGTTTACGGTTCAAAATGAGCCACTTTGGTCTCAGTTTGAATGCTGAAAACATACTTTTCGGCTGTACAAATGGTGATTTCTTTGTGAACTAACATGATTCACCATTCCTATCGGAAGCAGTGGCATTCAAGCTGATTGGTCAAACCATAAAGATGCAAATTTGCAGTGCGAACGTATCATTTTTCCTATTGGAACTTCAACCGAAAGTTTACCTAGAATTAGAATAAGATCCTGGGTAAAGTTTTCATCATAAATCACTTGTAATTTTCGTGAATATACACTCATTTGCAAACTAACTTGGTTTTTCGGGAGACTCATCTGGAACCCAGCTGAATTTCACGTTTGTGATGTTCTCAGGATTCAAGTAGAACATAAGGTTGACGGAAACTCGGAGACCCTGCCTAACTGATGAGCCCCAAGAAGGGCAAAACCGGTCGTGGGCAACCTTATGAGAAGTGCAATACAAAAATAGAAAAGATACACTTGTAATTTTGTGTTACCCGTTACGTCGTAGATGCATTACTCACCAACTTCACCGTAGCTTGATGTTGACTGGAGACTGACACGAATCTCTCGTCCCATGAAGATTTCTTTTTAACTAAATGTACTGCGCACCCTGCTTTTGTGTTGTTAGGACTTTTGAGTTAAGTGTATGTGGTTCCTTGACACCACATATAGCATAAAACGAGAAATTCAGCTGGAGATTAGTTGAAAATCCAGTGAACGCCAACAAAGTTCATTGCCTCCCTTGGTGATGGACGGCAACTCTGGGACCCCAAGGAGAACAAAATCTGTTTCAGGTCGTAAACAATATTTAATGGTTCCAGGATTTCGATTCGTTGCAACATCAGAAATAGAATTAGATGGTAAACATGAATCTGGACACCTAGTTTGAGGCTAACAACGCGTTTCGGGTCTTCGACACCAGATATTGTCAACGACTGCCGACTGTCGGTTTCTTACAATCCTTCCGTGACTGCATTTCGCTGCACTGTCATCAATTCGCTCAAGAAAGCACAGATAGCGACAGGCTGCACCTGTCTAAACAAAAGTATTTATTGAGCCATAATTGGAGTTAAACAAGGATCTCCGTGTCAGTAGATCATCCTTCAACCTTTGGGCTTCCTTCAAAATATAGAAAGCCTGTATCCGCATCGGACCTTCATTTATTCGAGCATAAAATTCATCAGAGAGCTCTAAGAGAATCCGCAAATAACTCAGACTAAGAGGTGTGCCACGCTGGACTGTCATATTGTCTAGGAACACGGGGTTCGCTAGTCAACCGATGGAACATTAAAGGTCCCATTTTGTAATATTGAAGATCAATACTAGTGTCACAATTGAAGACACGGTCATTGAATTTGACCGGAGATAAATATGATGTCCACAGTCTTTGGTGGTTGTCGCGTTTCACCTTCACAACTGTGATCTAGGACCGACCGCCATGTCGCTGTAGCCACTTCATGAATTACGTCGAAAAAAATCACCGATCAGGAGACGCTGAATCTGACTCAAATAATAACCTGATAGCCACTTAAACAAAAGTAATAAATAAGTGAGAATTTCGGTGACTGTGGAAGGAGTATTTTTTCGAAATTTGTAAATGAAACGGTATCTGTCTGCTGCGTAGTTAAAGTGTTTCAGGATGACATCTCGCTTCCGTAATCAAATTACAATGTTGACAACAAAGCTTTGAGAAGACTTGGGAACATGCTAGATTTCTTCAAGTTCAGGATCCATTATTTGTTGAGTTTACAGCAACATTTTCCTCCCAAAACCTTGTGGGAGATGGCAACTTACAGGGAAACCATTTCAAGCGCCAATCTGCTCGAGAAGCAGAACAACCAATCAGAGACCTTCCTTGGCCCAGCTGTAGTAAGTTCTGTATCCGACTGGCTGGTTTGCTAATCTCACTCACGAACCTATTTGCATTCTTCTTACAGGGAGGCCCTTGTGGGCTACATGAGAACAATGGAAAAGCCAATGGAATGTGTGGACGCCAGCATAGATCGCGTGATACCGTGGAAGACACTCACCAGAGATCTCAACGGACGTGCTCTCTACATTCGAGGTAGTCATTTATTCACATACTGTATACATTGCCTAAACCACAGTACGCTTGCAAACAAGTTTTCAGTAAGAATAGCGTAGCCGAAAAAGTTACTCGGCATTTATCAGGATATTTTCAGGTTTAAGCATTCAAAGGAATTAGTTAATCACGCAACTTGGAACTTCCAGTCTTCGACCACTGATTAACTTGAACCAGTTCTTGTACTCATGAAGAACAATTTGACGTTTGGTTGCAAGTAGCTCCTGCAACTGTTGATGATGCCGTCTTTCCTGGGGAATGTAGTTCATCCACGAACAGTTTAGCTTGACAAAGCAAACAGGTTTTGCGACAGCACCACTTACACTGAACAAAGTGATCACAAGACTTACGTAAAAGGTGCTAAACTTGGCTTGAAGGTTACCAGACCCTTAGAACAACAATCACGTTAGCCTGTTGAGACGTGAAAATTCAGATGCGTTCAACGTGCGTCGGTGGAATAGTGATAACACGCTCGCCTCACATGTCACATGTCCGGAGTTTAAATCCCGGCACGGTCATTGAATATGCACTGCCCACGAGTCCTAATAAGAGCGAGACTCGAGTCCGGTGCTTCCTTTTGGTGTGAACTCACCAGAATAATTACACCAGGACAGGCGACTGACAGTTCAAGTGAGAGAGATGTGAACATAAACAGAATAATCAGAAGTAAATATCCTAATTTGTTTGGACAAACCAATAGGTGATTCGATCAATGATTACATCAAATTTGAATTTTTCATGCGCGCAAAAAGGTTGTGCCCTTTGTCTGTACGTCTGTCAGATTAGTCCCAAGAAGGAAGATGGGTTTCGAATGGATGAACCATCTGTATTCTATTCTCACTTTTCCCTTTGGTTGCAAGCCCTACTAAACACATTTCCCCATGATTGTCCGACACGGTAGTTTGAATCAACAATTGATCGCTCGAGTTAACTGGATTGGCACTTGAGGAGCATGCTGATCAGGTGGCTTTACATTTTGTAATTAGTGAGGTCATTTCAGGTTTCATTTAATTTCCAAAGTAAAGTCACTACGTGTGGAATTCCTTGTTTTGAAATGATGCTGGTGTTTACCTCACGAACCATTAGGGAGAAACGAAACCGCGAGATTCATATACACCGCGTCGGTCTCTTTTCTGATAGTTTACCACTCAAGAAGCCAGTCAACTCCAGATCATACGGAATGGACGTTTTAGTTAAAGAAGCCTATCTGACTGCACAAAACGTTAAAAGCTCGCACGAAATTCACTTGCAAGTGGGTTGCACAGCTGAACCTTGTTATTTGGATGGCTTAGAGAACTGAATACGGTAATCCTTTAGGATCAGACCTCTGAAGGTGGCCTACTTCCTGCGGAATGCCCATAACTGCTTGCTGCTTTGGCACCCGACTACATCGGATTACATCTCTGGACCTTTAGAAAAGACACGAGGATGACTCATACAATGCTGAGACCACTGCTCAACCAGGTTACGAAGAGTTACTTGGGTAGTGGTATACGTTTCATAACTCAGGTTTATCAAAACTTCGATGTGGTTCTTGAACTATTTGAATTCCCCCCGCCTGTCATTTTTATAACCTGCAGGCCACATAGTCTTTCTCAAAGGCAGCTATTACTATCCGAGCCAGGAACTACAGAAATTCTCTCTAAAGATAAGATATACAATGAGAATTGTTTGTATCTGCTGATTCGTCAATCTGTGGTATCTACAGCTGACCCACTCCAGTGCCCAGTGCCGGAACAAAGACTCACAGAAGGGAACATAACAACTATATCCCGAACAAGCAAGTGCGAGAGCAAAAGTTACAACGGCCCCACGCTATTTATAAAGGGGACTTTCTGACATTGATCCAGGCTGTCTGATAGGCGTTAGTGAACACCCATGAACATCGATCGTGGCTGAATGAAAGGCCTGAACGCTGCTCAAATTCGATTGTGGTTCTGTGGCGTGCATGAACACGCATCAGCTTTTGTTGAATTGATTGTGTGATTGACTGGCCTGGATACTTGCCGGTTTTCCTGTTGAGATTTTGGTGGAGCAGTAGGTTTCGGGCGTTCTGAGGTTACAATCAGCAATCTGACCTCCCTGATAAGAATCTAGCTGCAAATGTCTACTGTGGTCTTTGAAGATTGGACTCTCGCATACGCTGCTGTACTTTGTGTAGTTATGGGTGCTTCACATGTTTCAGTTGAATGACTGAGACAGGAGATCACGGTAGCAGATTTTGACTGAAGTGAAACGCAAAGCTGTGGGAAAAATAAACAAATGCTAAAATACCAATGAACATTCAGAAGCCGAAAGTACGCACCTCACGAGCCTCTGAGGTGGCTCGGATATAAAATCCCGTGTTTGGCCGCTGAACTCTGCAACAGGCCACGAGATGCTTACTAGCAATACGTTTGGATCAAACACAGACAGCATATATCACCGTCATCGCCTGATCACCTACTCTCTGAGTGAAATTTTTCGGACCCGAATTGCCTCACAGATTCGTGAGATAGGCGCTGGTTAGGTTCTCAAACATGACTGGGACAGCTTCGCAGTGCCTCTCGACTTTCCAGCAAGACTAATCACATTTTTCAGGCGAAAATTCCCCCGATATTTCAAAACGAGTATGGACTTTAAATCATTGTCAATACTGCACTCTATATTTCCGAGACCGGCAATATCGCTTGTAAGATGCAAATGCGTAGCGAGCAACCAAAAATCTGCCCAGTGGTTTTCAAGCGTGTGCCACGCTACCTGACTGGGAAGTCTTGACTGGCAGGTCAATCGATCGTCACAACCAGGACAGCTACTGGGTCAGTCGGGCACACCAGTCATATCGCTCAAGTGTGAACACGTTCGCCTGTTCAGATGTGATAATTCAGAGGCGTGCTTTGGTGGAGTAGTGGCTACACGCTCGCCTCGCATGTCAGACGTCCTGGGTTAGAATCCCGGCACGGTTATTGGATATGCACTGCTGATCCGCTCTAATAAGAGCGAAACTCGAGTCCGGTGATTCCATCTGGTGTGGACTCACCAAAGTAACTACGCTGGAATAGGAAGATCACCGTTCAAACGAGGTGTGTGTGGCTATGAACGAAAACACGTCTGAATTTTCCTGGTTGCATAGAAATATATCAATAGAAAAGTTCAAATTTTTGGTGTCTCTTAGACACAGAGCGAACCACGTGGTGCCTTCGCAATTATCTCGTACAAAGCTTTTCAAGCTGTGGCCAATTTCTGCGGAAGAATTCTTGATAATGTTCACTTTCATGGGGCAGCCCATGAGTTTTTGGATCCATGTTCCGTACGCCAATTGGAATCAACCATGGTGAAGCATCATCTACTGGCAAAGTACAAATTTCTTCCCAATTTTGAATCCTGCAGCCTCTTGTTCATCATCATCATCATCATCATCATCATCATCGACAGCATGACATCAGTGTTCAACACCGATGCTTCACTGCCGTACAACCATGACTTATTTGAAAGCCTTATTGTAAAGGAAAGAGTATAGGCGGACGGGGAAGGGACTTAGTGCTAGCTTACTACAATCATTCCGAGGTGCCTACACCTCCACACATTCACTCAGGCAATCTGGATAGAAACTGACAACAAGAACGCCACTGACATCGGTTGGCAGCCATATCTTTTAGTGTCTCCAACCAGGCACAGTGAGGATCACGCGGTCCCCATCATGAGGGTGAGTAGCACTGACAGCACCCAAGCGTTTCGTGATCTCCTCCAACCCCTCTGCCAAGTCAAGGGTTGGTCACCTCTCTGAATTGGGCATGGAAAACAGCACTCTCTTCGGCAAAATGATGGTTCGGCATACGCAACACACCCCAACAAACGCAGCTTCTGGTGCCGGACACATTCTTCAATTGAAGTACCCTTTGCGCAACCGAAAATGCGCTTTCTAACTGCCTCTTGGTAGATATCTATCTACCCAGAACCGTGATGGGCAGCAGATTAAGCCAGAGGACCATGGACCACTTTGTTTTCCACACGTTTTTCTCAGATCACGGCTTATCGCAGGGATGTTTCCACATAATGTTTTTTTTACAGGTTCACTTCTATAAAAATTCGATACTTTTTCCCGGCCATTACCGTATTTCGTAGGGCTTTAATTCCGCGCGATTGGGTGCGTCCTATGCACACGTACGACACGACTGAAATTGTTTTGCCCAAAAGTAAGAGAGAACTGCAGCTGTCAAATCACGTGATGGCGTGATGGTTGCACGTCACACATTTATTTAGGCCATGGCAACGTGCTGGCTTCGACTACTCAATTAACGGTAGGCCAATACAACAATGTTACGGTAGATTTGTGCTGTCTAACCCTCCAGGTCGTTACCACTTACGTAGGGTAGCGAGGTTGGGAAGAAGACTTCCCCTTGGTGAGACATCTGGACGAGATACTTTTGACAACAATACAGAGTTAGACACTTTGGTAGACGAAAGCCCAAACCACGAAGCATCGGTTTCGCTTGTCCCATCGGCGATCGATTCTACGGTATATGTGTTGAGCGTTGTCTTCCTTTTACACAGCAAATAGTAGTCGGAATAAGTCTTCGTTATGCTCACACGATTGCATCCGTTTGAGGAAAAAACAGAGGATAATCAATTCCACCAGTCACGACCAGTCTTAACTAGCGTGTCCCAACTAGTCAAAAGGTTTGCGACAGTTCAGGAAAACTGGGACGCTGCAGCCAAGTTTTAGGTCAAAATTATACGATAAGTCGAGACAGGAAACGTGGCGTTCTGATGACACCACTAGGTTTTTCTTACCCATCTCTATCAGCACGGCCTAACAACGAACGACACAAGAAACGATTTGGCTACCTGTGAGTGTTCTGGTTTCTACGCAGAATGCGCAGAATAGGGCAGGCAAGCAACTTGTTGACGTGTCGAAATATTGGCAGCTCCGGTGCTACTATTAGCGGTTGATCAGCTGGTCGTTCATCTGTCCGCCGAGCTTGACAATTAGCTTGGAACTTTACACCCCCAATTCGAGGAGACATCGTCGGTGCGGTGGGTATTTCCGTCTCCCAATCAAATGCACAATGGAGATGTCTCCTCAACTGGGTGCGAAGCGTTTGCAGGCTAATTGTCCAGCTCCGCGGATAACGGCCATCTAATCAACCAGCAGATATGCAATTTCATTACTTTTGAACTAAAATCCGCTTTCTTCCAAACCTATTCACCTCTAACATCACTTCACGTTTGAAGAAGCCCATAAACGTTATATGAATAGCAGTTTCAGCGAACTAATGAGTTGAAGAAAAGAACTACTACAAGTGAATTTCAGAGTTTACTTCTGAATGACATCCATAGGCCTGAGAGCTGGTCCTCAAGTTTGAAGCTCGCAGGTACAAAGACATAAATGCAGTCAGTGGTTGTACTCTTTTTCATAGCTCTGTGGCGTGTTGAAAAGAACATCGTCTCTTTGCAGAAATTGGTGGCCTGAACTCAGTCGTGATATCACAGAACCCCCAAAGTGGACGACGTTTGGAAAAACGTGCCTCTGCACGAGTGGTAAGTATTCTCTGATCACTGATGGCTGCTGATTTCAGTTCATACTCTTGTTGAAGGTACCGACGTGTATTCCTATCTTCAATATTTATGATACAGCTATACCCACGCTTGTAATTTTGCATTTGGTACATTCCCACAGAATCCAGACAGCTTGTTGTTTGCTGGAAAAGAACTTGGCCGCATTTCATTAGAAATATACCATTTTTAAACTGAGCATAGGTTGTCTTGTTGCTTTTTACAGAACGTTTCTTTCGAGGAAAACCCGTAAAAAAGCTTGTGTTTTTTTTCGATCTCGGCTGAAATGAAATGAAATACTTATCGTCGCACAGCCCTCAAACTAAAATCAACTGGAGTCTGAATCAAGGCCAGAGAGAACAAGCTACTTAAACTAGAAGACGTTGGGATAACCATTCAACACAAAGGGATGCAAACCACAACGCAACAAAGATCGCAAACGGACCAATAGATTCACTAAATTCGATAAACTTCAAGTAGTCAATCACGCCAGAGGAAAACACCTAGCCTTCGAATGCTATATAGGCGCACACAGTCAAGGAGGAAGTACCCTCCTAACTGCGCGCTGATGGCATCTCATCGTATGGTGACGAAACATTTGGAAGTCAGTTGCCAACTTCACCGACCATATCAACAGCCACCTGATCAACAACCAATAAACTCCCCCGAGCTACCAATATTTCAACACATTACCACGGTGTTGTCTACAAAGAACTACTCTGACTACCTCAAGCTTTCAAACTTTACATCCATCATCTTGGTTATATTGAAAATATACCTGACAAACCTATAGATAATTCAAAGGCTTGTGAACGTCTTTCATCGGCTTTGTGTATTGGGTGAAACTGAACCTTACCTTGGTGTGACGGTTTGTGTGTCTCACTGTCGCAATGAGCTGTACTGGAGGATGCATCTTATTTACAAAAACTGAACATCCACCTTCTGTTGAAGGTTCTTCAAGAAGGACTAATTACTCACTGAAAGTTACTCAGCCTGTCCATGATTTTGTGTCCTGGCCTTGTTACCCAATAACATTCCTGTTGTGTTCCCGACACCGGAAATTTCGGTCGCGCAACTTTTATGACAGTGTCGAATGTGAGGGACAGTTCTGGAAGAGGAACAGCGGCAATGAAAAGTTTGAAACTACTCGAAAATTCAAAACATACTTATTGTAATGGTGCATACTACTGATGAGGCTTGCGTGTAGCATGTTTTCTCGTAAATCCGCTTTGCGTCTCTTCAAAAGTGATATCTATTACGGAAATTGTGGAGTCACATTTGGTCGCATTTGAGCAACATTCAATGAATATCCAGGACAGTTCAGGAAGAGGTGTTCAAGAAGATGGACATTTAGTTTTTGTGAGGACGATGCATATGAAAGTTTTGCTCCCCTGTTCAATAGTCTGTAACCGTCAACTTGGTGTTTCTCTTATCAACAACCATACAGCAAAAGCCTTCTCCTTTTCGCTAATAGCCAAATAAAGGCGACGGACTATCAAGCTGCTTGCTGATATGTTGAACGAGTGATATTGAGCACTGTTTACGAGTTGTTTGAGAAAGATTTATTCAACTGAATCAGTTTGGTGTAGATAGATAGATAGATAGACAGACAGACAGACAGACAGAGAGGTAGATAGATAGATAGATAGATAGATAAACAGACAGTTAGATAGATGAACAGTGGTCAATCTACATAAACAAATCGGAGCGAGCGAATCATAGATCAAACACATGG